GACGTCCTCGCCCTTGCGGCTGCGGCTGGCCTCCCCGCAGAGCACGTCGGGGCGCTCCATCCGCTCGCTCGTGACCTCCCGCCGCAGCAGCACGCCGAGCGGCACCGCCGCCATCGCCATGGCGCCGCCGCACCGATCGCCCGCCTCCCCCCAAACCCTCCTCCTCCCCCTGCTCCTCCCAGGAAGAGCCGCTCAATCCAACGGCTCGCCCCCCACGCTTCGCCCCCGTAACGGAAAGAGGGAGGAAAAAATCCACGCGGAATGGCGCCGCTGGTGGGCCGCGCGCGATCGTGGGCGCCACGCGGAAGGGAGCGATCGAGGGAGGGAAGGGAGGGAAGAGGGACGAATGCGTTGCGATTTTATCGGGGCGGAGACGCGCAGTGCGGTTATGACTTGACTCGTGCCAGCTCTGTTTTGTTTCCGCTCCGTTAGTTTTCCGTTTCTGCTCTGCTGCGTGCCTGCGTCCCTCTCTTGTTCCGGCCCAGGTGCGTGCGAGCTGGATGCGTGCGTGGACGGGTGGGGCCGGGGGGTCTGAGAACCCGAGAGGCGGCCGGCCCGGCCGGCCGGGCGCTGTCGCTTGCTCGGCCTCGATCGGACGGTGGCGCGGGTTTTGACGGGGTCAGGTGAAGATGCACGTGCGGAGCGGCGCCGGCGAGAGGGGAGGTGGTGGCCAGCGTGGCCGGCGAAAGGACCTCAACTGTTTTCTCCTTCTTATTATTGGGAACGTTTACCATCACCCCAAACGAATCGCAACGGCCGCGTCTGTCACCTTGTTTTTTTACTGGTAACTAGCGATTTTATTAAACAGTAATCAACATCGAAATACAAATAATGTCTGGGACTGTCCCTAGCCAAATGTGGCGACCTACAGCAAGAGACGTCGCCGCTTTCACCAGTGCATGAGTTTCGAAATTGTTTTCTCTATGTTCAAACTTGAACTTGACATGATGGAAATTCCTTCTCCTCTCTAATATTTCGTGTAACACCGGTGCATAGTGTGTTGCCGATGCCATTCCTATGTTATTCATCACTTCCAAGCAATCAGATGCAATCTGCAAGCGAGTTAGATTCAGGTCCGTGGCCAAAGCCAAGGCTTCATTGCAAGCATGAGCCTCCAGAGCAGCTGCATCATTCAGACCCTTGAAAACCACTGCCGAAGCCTCCAGGAAGAGACCTTCTTTGTTTCTGCATATCACAGCTGCTGCGCCCATATGGCCCTGCCTCGATATGCCCCCATCCACATTGAGCTTTGCTTCTTCTTCCTCTGCCGCGTCCGTCACCTTCCCTGCATGATACGCGTTCAAGTGAGGCCCGCACATCATCCTTCGCCGGACACGTTTCTGCAACACGGGCTATGCTTTTGAAACATATGTGGTGTTGCAATGGTTTTCGACGGGTCTATGTTTTATAACAAAACCTCTTTTATAGAAATTTTCTGCAATAAGACCTCAGTTGCAAAAAAAAAAACTCAGCTGCAAAAAAATGCAACAAAACAATTGTTGCAAAGAAATACTTCAACAAGTTGTGGACCCAGAATCGGTAGAGATCTTGGCATGCAAACGTGGTCTTCAAGTGGCGCAGGAGATCAACGCCGACAAGGTCCATATCGAGCTCGACTCTCAAAGTGTCGTCCACATGCTGAAGAATCAACACAATGATATGTCGAGTGCAGGTCCATGGATACAAAAAATCAAGACGATACTTGCATCTTTCTCTGATTTCAAAGTGTCTTGGGTTCGTCGTTGCGCTAATGTTATCATGCATAAGTTAGCTAGAGTCAGTGTGGTGATGAACTTTGTAAGGTTTGATGGGCTATCCCAAACTGTGTGCTTGATGTAATCTCGGACGAGATTCCGAATGCATATGATTAACTAAAGCGGCAACATTGATCCTCAAAAAGCAAATCATCAACAGTCCAGTTGCGAATCTATTTGTCTCCCAAAGGCAGTTTTTTTAGTAACACCGTGCTTATCCAATTCTCAAAATGTCGACGCATACAAAGGTGAGATGGTGGTTCATCCAGCGCATGTCTACCCACATCTAAATAAGCATTTTTAGGGCACCAACATCTAAATAAGCCGCCATGTCGTATTTTTCTAAACAATGACAAAATTTTATTAATTGAAAATAACGGTTACATCATCTATAAGAAGAGATAAAATCTCATCCAAGGGCTCCTCAAACCAATCTCTTGTCGCTTAAAATTTTGCTAACCTAACAAGTTTATGGGCAACCTTATTTGCTTTTCTATTACAATGTTCAAAACTAGTAAGAGAAAAACTACAAACCAAAAAATAACAGTCATCGAAAATTGCCGCTCTCGCATACCGTCCTTCATTCTTCATTGTATCAATGACTTTCATATTATCCGAATTAATAACAAGGTGATTGTAGCCCGCTTTGCTGTTTTTCTTTGAGAAGGAGCAAGACCCCCGGCCTCTGCATCTAAATGATGCATGCAACCACTTTATTAATTGTTCACACAAGACCTTATAAAGTAATACAATAGTAAGACTAAAGCCACCGTCTAGGCAACATCTGTCGCTACTCATATCCAATTGATGAAGGGATGCTGATAGTCTGGGCCTAATACCAAACAGACCTCGCAGCCAAACCTAACATCTAAGACCTGAGATCCCATCCAGGACGCTTGCCGGGTATGGGGCACCTACCGGTCCGGCGCACTCCTCAACCAGGACGCTTGCCGGGTATGAGGCCGCCGCAGCCACCTGCCACCAATCCATCTTCAGAGTAGTACTATTGTATCTACCTTGCCCGGTCTAGCTGTCGTCGACGCCATCACGAGGCTAGACCGCGTCACCCTCCTGCGCGAGTCCACCTCCGCGCATTGAACGACGAGTCACCACAGCGCCATGTCGCTGAGATCCACCGCCATCAATGAGTGAGATGACGCATCGTTCCACCAAAGA